TAGAAACTTCCAGAAAATTATCTGACGAGAGAACCCAAACGATCAAGTCAAGCATTTCCAACTATGCACAGTGACTTACGGAACTTCATGCGCACCATTTCTGGCCATTCGCGTACTGGAGCAACTGGCTGTCGATCATCAACAGCAAAAACCAAACGCTGCGAAAATCCTGCTGGATGATTTTTACGCTGATGACGTTCTTACTGGTTCGAATAGCGAGGATGAACTATTAAGAAACCGAAACGACTTGATTGAACTGATGTCTTGAGCAAATTTTAGGCTCGGTGAATGGGTATCTAATACTCCCTGCATACAAGCGATCGACTCCAAGGGCACTACTAAACCGTGGCCAGTTTAAGTTCTTGGGCTATACTGGCATCCTGAAAAGGACACGTTTACCTATAATGTGGACCTCGCTGCAAATCCCAACTGTACAAAGAGACAAGTCTTGTCGGTCGTGTCAAGGATATTTGATCCTTCTGGACTTTTGGCACCCATCGTGATTCAATTTAAAATATTGTTACAAAAGCTCTGACTTCTAAATCTGGATTGGGATGATCAACAGCCAAGCAAACTGGCAGACAATTGGCTAAAATGGCGAAAAGATCTAGACATTCTTCAGAAATTCCAATTTCCAACATTGAACTCCTCGGATTTTCCGACGCTTCAACAAGGGCCTATTCTGTTGTGGTCTACAGCAGGATGGTTACAAGGATTGCTCAATTTCGGAGTCAATAGTGGCTGCAAAAACCAGGGTAGCTCCACTAAAACAACAATCGCTGCCGCGCCTGGAACTTTGCGCTGCACTTCTTCTGAGTCAACTTATATGCTCGATCACTTATGGAGCATAACGAGCTCTAGACGAAATGCAAATGCAATCATCACAACAGCATCACGACATTGTCACCAGCACCCTTACGGATGTTCGAACCCAATCGGTTTTCATTCCTCCGAGAGCACCTCACTGGGGAGGGAAATGGGCATCCGCAGTTAGATGTGTAAAACTGCATCTTCACAGAATCATCGGGAATTCTACGCTAACTTCTTATCTCTAGCTCACTTCTTGATTGGCCGACCGTTTACCACTCTACCGGATCCTGATATACGGCACATTATAGTGGGTCGATTGGGATACTGGCAAACCATTCAAACTATGTATTAAGGCTTCTGGAAAAAGTGGCATCAGGAGTACCTGATCACTCTACAACAGCGCCCAAAGTAGGCCACGTCAACACCCAACATATCGATTGATGATGTTGAATTGGTTTATGAGTCTAATACACCACCAGCAGCATGGCATATCGCACGGATTATTAAAACCTATCGAAATATTTTATTTTATTTTATATACCGACTGCGATATAACTGCGATTATTTTACTGCTACCACTAATTTGAACTCGTAAACAGAAATAAAATGTATGCTGAAATATTATAAAATATATATTATAACATATAATCTTCTTATTTTTATCATAACCCAATAATATTTACTATTTTTAGGGTACCATAACCATATTTTTAGGGTACCAGGTTTGAAAAGTAGCAAAAGACAAAATATTCTTGATGCGCCGAAATTAAATAAATGCGTTCTATGAAATGACCAGTATCTATGTTGTATGGTTATTGCTTTAGTAAAGCATTCGACATTCGACTAAATTACTTACTTTTGGTTCGGAAACTCGAACTGTTAGGGTTTTCAGTTGATTTAAGTTATCTGAGTGGCAAACTCAAAGGGTCCTCTTTAAAAATGCCACTTACGTCCCACGTCCCACGTCCCACGTCCCACAGAGATCCATCTCGGCCCGCTACTCTCTACTTTTTTTAACGACCTCTTCTTAGTTATAAGTCATTCTCGCGTTCTTATGTACGCAGGTGAATTTAAATTTCTGCAGTACGAGGATATTTCCTGCCACAAAATCTTTCAATCCGATTTAAGTCAAAACTGGTGCCGGGTTATTTTACTTAATTTAAAAGCCTTTAAGTATAAGATGATGGCTTTTTATCGTGTCAAATTAAAAAAACGCGACTTGTTCTCGAGGTGAATACTCTTTGGATAGAAGTGCTGTTGTAAACGATCTGGTCGTCCTTCTCGACCCAAAACTAAAATCCTGGAGAATGAGTTATCATATTGATAACCCGATGCCCTCTGACCATGTCTGACTAGTCGAATGAGGGACGAAACGGCTGCTAGTCTTTCGGCTACCCGGTCGGCTATCTTGACGTCAATCTCCTTCCCCTTCTCGGACATCAGGCGTCCGTCGCCGTGAAGGTCATGCACAAGGGACATCGCTAGCCTGTCTCTGTCTACGTCGCTGAACTCCTTCTTTACGACGGAGGTAGGCCTCAATCTTCCTTGAGCTTCTTTTGCTCGCTTTGGCGCGCTGACTTCGTGGGAGCGGCCCCTCTTGGCGTGCTCTGTTTTACGCCTCTTTAGGTACTCCTTGAATGCCGCGATCTCCGCAAGGAGATCGAGTTAAGGGTGAACGCAAGGTACACGAAAAAATCAAAGTTTGCGAACAACGTTTCCTATAAAGCTCTCGCACAAGTGTGTAACTTGAAATACCTTTATATTTATACTTTTTATTTTATTTGTGATTGGACCTTTGAATTATTTTTAGCGCACAGTTATTTACATTAAATTTTTTCTCAGTGTTCAAAATATTACACATACAGTGTTTTCGTTGGTTAGTCGCCAATTATTAGATTTGAGGTTGGTCCCACGCCGCAGTCATGGGAAATTGTTGGGATAGCCTACGAACTCTTAAGTGGCAGGTGTAGTACCGGACAGATTACTACCGTCTTGTCTTCATTTTAGTAGACGATTAGGTAGAGAGAAACTTGCCTCTGTTATTTTTGGCCCTTAAGGCGCGATAACCCAATTCAAGTAATAATTTGACGGGGAATAATAATTTGTTCTAATGGGAAAAGTCCGTTATAGATAAGATATAGTCGACCGTTTCATTTTGGTCCGACTTATTCCGATTTATTACCTGTATTAGAAAAGGTAACACATTGTGGTTCTGCGTCATGTGGAATCATTCATTATTAAGTCAACTATTGCGATAATGTACTCTAGCTGTTAAATATTTCACAAGCCTGTTAAACGAGTTGTTCCGAAAAAGTTGTTTGTCGACCCATTGAACTTGAGCTAGCGCAATGTCAAGCAAGTCGTCAATAAAGTCATGCTGCGCTAAAGGAAGTAAGATACTAGTCTTTTCATCAGTGGACCAATTCGTAATCGGTTTATTAAAATCACCTTAAACTTTTAACAGATTTTTATAAGACAGTTGTTTAAAAATGGACTGCTAAACCGTTGCCTTAGCTTTGACTCTTTTACTACTAAATGTTGCGGCCAAAAGTCGCAAGAGCACTGCGAAGAGCTCGTTTGGACAGTAATCTTGAAAGATGAAATGTCCCTACCGTAAGAGAAGTTGAATTTTTTCACCTTCACATAAACGTGATCGACTTTAGTTTTGTCTTGTTTATAAGATAGCACATCAGAAGATGTTTGAGTAGGGAAGAGCCGAGAAACAAATATTGGTTTCTTGAGTGGAACCACAAAAAGGGGTTTTGGAATTGCAAACCGAGTTTCTGCAGAACCAGCTTAAGTCAGTATTTCGAAAACAATATCCCCTTGTGCCGGTAGAGTTAAGCTACTAGGGTTTGGTAGGTTTACTGATTGTGAAGCCACAGCGGACAAAACAGAAATTTGTGACATCCCTCACTGCACACCCTCTGCTACGGATTGTCCGTGTTCTTAATATTTTTTAACTGCTGATCTACGGGAGCGTTCTACTTCACTCTTGCCGATGGCTGCCATCGTCTAGCCTCAACGTAACAGCTGATAACCGCTAACAGACCGCCTTTAGTTAGTCGACATAACAAAATCGCAGATTGGACCCATAGGAAAGATCATCACATGTTCTGCCTGTAAAACCAGCGCACTTAGTTTGCACCAAATTTTGACAAAGCCAACAAGTCATTTTGACTGGTCAGCCCTGACCATCAGCTTGCATTTCTTGCAGAAACACGAAAAATTGTTATTCATGTTTATATTAAATTTTGACAGTAAAAGCGCAGAAACTACACGCATAGAACTGTCGAAAGAGAGAGAGAGAGCTCAAGAAAGCGAGAGATCAAGAGAGCGGGACTGTAATGTAAGCGCATGCAAGCCCAACACCAAATACAGGACACAAGGGAATCACCACAAAATCACAAAAACAGAACAGAAACGATAACCAGAAACACGATAACAGAAACACAAATGTTTAAATTGTTTTCTTAGTATTTGGTAGGTAGTTTTCACTGGCGAAGCGAGAGAAACTAAACTTAAGCTATGAAAAAACAACTGCGATAAGCTAATGAAACTTTATAAAGCTAAATCTTATTGAAATAAGGATTTTAGCACAAACGAAAACTGGCAACAGAAGGTTTAAGAACATACTTGTTTATTCATTTGCAATTAATTTTTTTAATTGACCATCTTAACGGCTTTGTTGCTTCGTTTTATAATTTCGGCTCGTCTGTGGTTGATAGGCTCTGCCATGTGATCTTGTGAATCCCCCGGCGCTTACGTTGCTTGAACAAGTTTTAAATTTTGTTTACTTTACAGTTTTATTTTTCACTTTTACGTTATTAGTGGATTTTGGCAATATTCCTGTGTGATGTTCCAGGAAGCCTTGAGCGCCTAACTCAATGAAGTCAAAACTGGAAACAACAATTTTGGATAATGTCACATTATGAATAGAAGTGCAGAAGGCTTCTTATTTTAATTATGATATATTAATTACAAATACAATTATAATCCACAGACATTTTTATTTTTCTTTTTTTCCAAGTAGGTGTTAGCTTGTACGGTAATGATTTGCGCTGACAATTAATATATATAACCATTATTTTGTAAACTTACTGAACATGTAGTAAGTGTAAGAACTAATAATCAAAGTCCAAGTTTAATTGGGATATAATTTATTTATAAAATTTGTTTGTTGTTTCCAGGTGAAAAAAATATGACACGATAAATAACGCAAGATGAAAGTAAATAAAATGCACGATCGTTTTCTTGAAAACTTTATAATTAAAAAATGGAAGTCATAGTACCATCAAATGATCACAATATAAGCAAAAAAATCAATCAGCAAGGATAATCGAAAGAATTCGCTAAGCTCAATAATGATGACGCTAACTACTTGTGTTTAACTGTGCGAGTAAAAGATTGAGATTGACATGAGAATTTAAAACTTTTTATCTTCCAATGTACAAAAAATCTATAAAAAAAAATTTTGTGTGAGCTTACCGTCCATGACAACGAAGTGCCAAGTGATCAGCACTTTTCTTTGACTAGCAACCAAATTTCAAGTTTTCAATTAATGACAAACTTACACGAAAAATATTTTACTAATATTCAAGTGAGTTTATTAGAAATGTCAGACTCCGTGTCAAAGAATTCAAAAAATATTACAAATTGCTTAAGTTTGGATAAAGACATCCGTGAAATATCTCCAAGCAACATTTCTTGTGCACCAATTAAACATGAAACTGGATCTAGACTTCAGTCAATGGAAATTCGACCTATATATCCGAATGTACCGTATAGCCCCTACAGTAGTCCTTTTGGAAGTCCTCAAACCAATCGACGTCGCCCGGCTTTTCGAGAGTCCAGAAGAATATCAATAGAAAAATCGGGAAGCTTTCATCAATTAAACCAATATAAATTAATGGAACAAATCGGTCAGGTAAATATTTGATTCTTAACTAATTTTCATATTCGTATTACACAAGTCTTATTAAGTCAAAGCGTGTAGATAGGACAAAATGTATCATTCTCTAAAAGTTTTCAGCTGTTTGATATAGTCGTCCGATTTTGAACAAACACAAAACCGTATATAGCGCTTTTATCTCGAGTTCAATGCATATACAAACAATGGTTCACAGCTTATTTGATGCACAGCCTATTTAAAAATTTAACTTTTGAACGTAAAGAGCTATGTTAAAAATTGTAATGGCTAATAATAGATTTATACATCTAGTTTTATAAATGACAATAGTTTATTTCATTAAAATTATTTAATTTATTTTCAAAAAATACTAGATATTTTCTGGTCACAGCTTATTTGATGCAAGATCAATACTGTATTTTACAGTTGCTTTTCCGTTGAATTCGCTTGCAGTTCCCGCTTAAGTTTTTTTTTTAGTTTTGCGCTTTAACTTGAAGACAATGTGACCTCGCACATAAATTCAGAAGCGTGAATTAGTCCTACAACATTTCAAAAATGGGGTCTCCCAACGCGGAATTGCAAAATTGTGGATTTAAGTCCGTCTACTGTTCAGCACACGTTCACGAAAATTGAGTCGAAAATAAGGTCAGAAACGCACCGAATAAGATTTCCAATGCTTACGACGACCGCTTAATAGTGAGGAAAATTAAAGAAAACCTCAGGCTGTCATGTTGCCCAGAAACTATTCGCCGGGTGCTCCGTCACATCACATCACATCACATCACATAAAGATCGAGTAGCCAGTATGTTTAAAAATCACGTAGTTTTTGTTTTATTTATTCTACTATTCCGCCTTCGTCATCCTATCCGGCCGTTCCGACTTATATACCACAATAGATTGGAGTGATTTTGTCTGATTTTTCTAACATCAATAATGGGCTTCTGACACTACATTGTTGGCTTCATTTATTGCTCGTTTATTTTTTTTAACTGTACGATTTTACGTAAGCGCGAGCAAGACAAACATCTGACGAACCCAATGAACAATAGGACGATACATCAATGATCAAAATTGTTTTTAAAAAGTACAATTTTGCTCATTCATTGGAGTTGACAATAAAACAGAATAAAAAAACGAGGCTTAAATGTGAACAAAATACGAAAGGTAACAACTGAACACCTTTAAACGTCAAAATTAGCGGAATAAACACAATATAATAAACGAAACAATAAAGTTTGAATACAACGTTAAAAATACAGTGTGATCGTGAACTGTATACCAAGAGAATCTCAAGCAGCATCCATATAGTTGTCTCTGTCTCTGAGCTTCAATGAATCCGTTAATGAATGAGACGAACAATGTAATGTCATACCCGTATAAGTAAACTCTAAATCAAAAACACCGAGTTGTTTACACTCGATAAAACAAGAAGACCTATTAAAAATTTAGCGCAAAGACATACATTAGTTGATTTATTTTTGTTTGTTTGTTACGTAAGTTTTTTTGTGCCTAGTCCACAGGATTTGGGCCGAGGGAGTTGCGCCCTGTTAGGGCTCGCTGGGTGCCGGCATAACGAGAATAAATTTATCGTGCCTTATTTTTTTTTGTGCCTGGCATTAGTCCTCCGCCCATATCCGCAAGTCCCGCTGCGTGTCGTCCCTCAGCCGTACTAGGTCGTTAAGTCGTACGTAGTTGGCGTTTATTCTCGCCATAGTTTTTTCGATCTCTCGCTGCGTTGACCGCAGCGTATCTTCCAGGGGAATATCCGCCCAGGCCAGTCTTTCCCGCTTGTCTGCCGCTATATCTCTGCGGTGTCGAGCGTCGGCTTCTGAGGGGAGGGGTCTTCCCTCAGCCTCGCACCTTTCAAGGTGTTTCTCTACGGCCTTCCTTGTAATTTCAATCTTTCCTTTTTTTTGTCTTTTGTTTTGCTAAACGGCAAATCTGTTCTTGCTTGACTGGGTAGTACAATTGCACTGATCGCTGGTAGTTTTCACCAAGATTCAAACAGCGTAAAGGTCTTTGGCGTGATATACCAATCGTACCCGATTGGGCCCTAGCTTTGCATTATACCCTTCTGTTCGGCTACTCTGCTTGTACTTTTATCGGTATACAACCTGACCTACCGCAAATTTAATTTTCTTACTGCGGGTATTATACGTCCTTTCAGCTTTTTCGTGTTCCCGAACTAATCCTTGTTTAACTACACAAACATTGCATAATATGGTTCCAATACCAAAGCTTCGTGATAGCCACTTCGTAGTGTACACGCGATTCGACTCAGGTGTTTCTCCCAATGCCGCTGGTTCTTGTCAGTAGCTGCCCTGAGCATTTGTAGCACGGATTGGTTTACGCGTTCTGCTGCATGCGCTTGTGGCGAATTAAAGCCCGTTTGAACGTGTCGGATTCCATATTAGGTGATTTATTCGGTAAATGTTGCCGCCACAAGTTGCTTAACGTTATCGGAGTGAATGCATTCTGGCAATCCAAATTGATGAAATATGTTTCTTTAGAGAATTGTTACTACGGCTGTTGCGGTTGCTTTTCGCATTGCCTCTAGCCAGACGAATTTGGTGCTTCCGGATTTGGTCCGGGGATAAGGTCCCATGAAATCAATGTAAAGTCTTTGACCTGGCCGTTCAGTCAGCGCTCTGCTGGTTTTGTTCGTTGCTTTGCTGACTCTGCAAATTTCACAATTCTTAACAGTTGTTTGTACATCAACCGTCATTGCGGTCGAGCCAAATTTTTGTGTATACCGCCGTGACCTGCCACTCGAGAATGGTGTGCCTTATGAACTAGGTCTTGCCGAAGTTCCTCAGGAACCCACAGCTTCGAAGCAAAAGGACCATGCTTGTTAATTGTTTCCTCAATATACCAACTATCAGGACCTTATAAAATCGGTACACAAAGAGTTCCTTTTGTTTTCTTTACGTGGTTTAAACTGGGATAATCATCGTCATCTACCATCTTACGTGGATAGACTGCGTCTACTGAACCTGTCCTCCCTTAAGGATCGTCGGACCTGCCATGGTGTCATGTTCCTTCACAAATTAATAACTGGGTCAAATACGGTCATCCATCCCTTACGGTCTAGTCGTCACTTTCGACCTATTGCCCTCGATATTAGTAAAACGAATTTCGAGGTACATGATCCATTTCGCGTTTTATGTTCGCAATATAATGAACTGTATTTTTTTATATTTTCTGAATGCTCAATTAAATTGTAACAAACATCCTAACTCACCTGTTCTTGTCCCAACCCACTTGATGTGAGTCGGGTAGTATGTTTATGTTGGCAGATATTTTCTAACTTTAATGTAATTATTAAAATAAATAAATTTCGCCTGTTCGGAATCCTAACCTCTTATACACGTATCTATCGGACGTCTGGGTATCAGGAGTCTTTTCTGCGTCTTTTTCAACAGATTGAACTAATTCTTTGTATTCCATTCACTGAAAAGCTGCTGATCGAAGTTTACCTCTGCCGCATCCCTAAGTCCCGATGTTACCTCATCCATATGTACCCTTAAAAATCCGATGATGTTAATTCAGGTGCTAATACCAGGCTGGTCTTCAGAGCCTCAAATGTTTTAATGCCTTCTTCATCGAGCTAGTATTTTCTGACTCGATCCTTTCATGAAGCGGTGCTGCAGTTTGTACGTATTTTTGTATAAAACGTCGGTACCACCCTGTCATTCCCAAAAATTGCATCTGCTTAACGGAAACTGGCTGTGAAAATTCTTGAATAGCCTTTATTTTTCATGGATCGGCTTTTATGTAACCCCCACCTACTACAAATCCCAGGCATTTAGCTTGCCTGTAGCAGAACTTACTTTTTCCCATATTAATTGTTAATTTTGCTTTCCTCAAGCAATCACTGACTTGCCACAACATTTCGAAATGTTTTTCAAAAGTTGTAGAACAGACCAGTAAATCTTAAAGAAACACGAAGACAAATTCTCTTAATGCTGCTGGAATAACTTTGTCCGTCAGTCTGTACATTCGCTGGGCAGCGTTACATAGGCCGAACGGCATGATATTTGCTAACTTTAAAAATAAAATAATTAAATTTTGCCTGTTCGGAATCCTAACCTCTTATACACATAACCTTGTTTAATTTTAAATCGTGATTTCTACGTCTATAATTTAATGACATTAGGTGAATCTATTGAAGATGTGGCAGAGATCATAAAGCAGACAACGTAATTATTAAAGGAAAGCCATTTTCAAATTAGATTGTGGTGCTCTAATGCATCGGAAATCTTGAACGGAATTTCTGGCCAGGATAAGGAGAGGAGCTAGTTTCAGGGCGGAACGGACATCACAAAGACCCTTGGTCGGTCCTGGAATCCGGTTACAGATCGATTTCTTTGCTCACTTTTATGATCCCCTAGGATTAATTGGTTCCGTGATAACAAAAGCCAAAAAATTTGTATATTTAGTGGGATGAAAGCTTGCTAGCCTCATTGGCATCGGCCTGAATAACTTCGTACGATAGTCTGTCTAATTCTTAGAGCTTTTCCTTCCCACGACTAGTTTTACTTCCAGATTCTCAAGTTGAAGTCCATGGATTCTGCGACGCCAGCACACTCTCAAATGTCGCTTGCGTATACGTTGTAGCAAGGGCACATGGCACAACTCGTGCGCTTTTGCTGTGCTTAATGTCTTATGCATAGTGGCGTTATACATATACCCACTAAAACTATGGTTGCAATGGCCAGCTTTCATATCTAAAGATCAAACGTCATGGCCAATCTGTAATTTAAAAATAACCATAATCAGAGCTTCGTAAAAGAGTCTTAAAAAATGTGTGTGTTTCTGCAAGAAATGCAGTCTGATGGTCGGGGCTGGCCAAACAAATATGACTTGCTGGCTTTGTGAAAGTTTGGTGCACACTAAGTGCGCTAGTTTTATAGGCCGATCACGTGATGACCTTTCTTAGTGGCCCAATCTGCGATTTTGTTGTGTTGTGAAATCGTTGATGCGCCATACTAAAAGCGGTCTGTTAAAGTTTGTCAGA